TAGCGCCCTAGTCCGCGAAGTTGCATTTCGATGGCAGGGGGTTCAACAAGTTTCCGTTCTCGTCGGGCGAGTATGCAAAAATACCGAGGTTATCTGTTTCTTCTTGCGGTTAGTGCATGAAAATATGAATGTAAGCATTTATAACACTTAGTTTTTGCGTTTTGTGAATTATTTAATTATATATTGGGTGATATGGAGCTCGTTTCGTTGTCGGTTTATCTACAGCGTGCGCCGACAGTTGAGGCCGCGTCTACTACTACAAAGCGGGAGGCGGCGAGGTGGTGTACGTCCCTCAAGGTTAGCGAGTGAATCATCGTAAGCAACAGACCCAAAAAAACTTTTAAATGCAGAAGTTAAAGGACTTTCGTATAAATAGATTATTTTTTATTAAGATTTTCGTTTGTAGAACGCTCATTCAAACTCTGTTTCCCGCGAGATCCACCACGTCAGGACCGTCGGCGCGATGCTCGCGCTTGAAGCTGTGCGAAATCCCCAGAATGAAGTTCATCATATCCCAGATTAATTTCATGAATCTTCCAATAAATTCATTTCCATTTCTTTTCTAGAATTGGAGCCACTAAAAAGATCGTAAGGCCCGCTGAGACTGCTGCAGCAACCGAACCGGCCCAGCCGCGTCTGCCGCTGATCCGCTTGCGACTGTTGTTTTCTTGAAATAGCTTAAGGAATAAATACTGTTGTTGTTTCTTATTCTGGTTTTTTCTGCACTCCATTCAACGCTTTCTCGCCTCCAATTGCACGTATCGCCTCCCTCCCCCGCTGAGAAGGGACCAACCGCTTTCTCTCTTGGGCAGTCCTTACGTGATCCCCAGGGCTCTGCCTTGCGCTCTTGCTTCGTCAGCTGGCGCCTGCAGCAGCGCAGCAAACAGCAGCAGCAGCAGCAGTTGCACCAGGACCAGCAGTAGCAGCAGCAGCAGCAGCGGGGAGTTGATAACAAACATTCGCTTTCCTTTGCTTGAGAGACCTCCCGTTGCGACTCCGTGAAGTCTAGGGGCTTTCAAGGGCAGCTAAATATGTCTGTATGCATGCATCTGCTGAGTAACACCAGCAGTTAGCTATATTTGCATGCATGCAGCTGTTTATGTGTTGCTGTAAAGGGTTTCTGTTGGGGGCTCTGTCGTACGAAGAACGATAAGTNGCATGCAGCTGTTTATGTGTTGCTGTAAAGGGTTTCTGTTGGGGGCTCTGTCGTACGAAGAACGATAAGTAGCGGCCGTTGCCGCAAGGAGAAAGTATAATTAGGAAAAGCCGTGACTATGAAGGTCCCGAAAGACCCTCCCCACGTCACCGATGGCGCAGGTGAACGTACACCTGAGATCGAAAGGGAGAAGGGTAGTGGCGGTGGCTTGATAGGGTCTTGTAGCCTCTCAAAAGGAGTTGATTTGTTTAGTAGAGAAGATACACCGGTTGCTGCATCTGTTTCCGGGAACTCAGTAAAGAAGAATGTGGTGTTTCAGACTTCTCCCGAGCCAGAAGCAAGTGTAGCAACGAAAGGGAAAACGATTTCTCTTATTTCGAGTGTATGTTCAGATTGTCTGTTCCATACACAAGGCACCAAGGAGGGGCACGACCCCCTCAGTCGCGCAGAGAGAGCAGCAGCGATCCACAGCGGTGCCCCCAGACAGTTGAGCAGCAGCTCAGATGACGACTGCAAAGAATCAGAAGAAGACAGTCGAGAGAGAATTACTGCAGTTCCGGTGCTGCCGCGTTTCCCTCNGACTGCAAAGAATCAGAAGAAGACAGTCGAGAGAGAATTACTGCAGTTCCGGTGCTGCCGCGTTTCCCTCCAGCAGCAGCTAATGCTGCTACTCCTGTTTTGTCCAATGCAGCAACGCCAAGAGCAGGGGCAGCAACTGAGGCGGCTCACGCTTCAGTTGGCTGCCGACAGCAGCTTCGCCAGCAGCACCCGCAACAGCGGCAACAGAACCACCACCACATGCAGCTCCACCAGCACCAGCATCAGCACCTGGAGATCATGCAGGAGGAGGGGGATCGCCCGCCGGGTCGGTTTCAGAAAGCTGTGGCTTCTTTGTTGTCTCCCTTTCAAGAGCTTGCTGGGGGGGAGTTGAATTTCAGTTGGGCGTACAGAGAAGCAACAGCTCTGCATCGTCTTCAGATGTCTGGACAGTCGTTTGGGTGCGGG